GGTGATCCCCCGAGCACACACACCCCACCTCCCCACCCCCTCCCCGCACTCGGCCAGCACACCTCTCGAGGCTGGCGTTCGCCGGGGCCCCAGGATGGAACTCACCTGGCAGCCTCCTCGGCTTCTGTGGGCAAAGACAGGAGGGGCCAAGCCCCGAGGCTCTTCTCACAGCTCAGCACCTGCAAGGAAAATACCCTATTGCCCTTAAAGCTTTTATAGAACGGCCTGGAAAACACGTTTGCAAACTGCTACAGACGTAGCAACCAACAGCGTTCCGGAAGATGCATGTTGGTAAAATTGTTACAGATCTTACATTTTAAAACTAGATGGCAGGGCTTGGCTATTCAATAGAATCATATAAGGGAAGGCCGGTGAAGTCAACAGGGGATTGGAAGGTAGTTAACACCTGGACTAGCTGTAAAACTTATCCCCAAGTCTTTTGGCGCCTCTCGTTTGAGAGCCGAGGTCGACAATTCTCCTCCATCGCCGAGTCAGGACTCGCTGTAGTGGGTGGCCTTCACCCAGACAACACAGCAGAAGTTAGGCTGTGTGACTCTGGACGACAGGTCACAGAGGGCTGGGCCTCTCCTGGGGAAGCCAGCAATCGGGAAGCCCTGCACCAACTTCTCATCCCCTCACACGGAACACCGAGCCAGCGGAGCCCAGACTTCTGATGCATGAAAGTGGGAGCATGTTAAACACTGCTGTTGACACCACTGAATGTGGGTAATTTATGCGGCAATAATAAGCAAGCAATGACCCTACAAGGGACAGGATACAAGACTGCCTAATGAAAAACGGATAAACAACGGACAGCAGGAATAAGAGGCTGCAGGAAAGGGTGATCATCTGAAACACCCACTGTGGGGCACGGAGGGGCCACGGAAGCAGCAGCCAAGGAGCAAGGGGGCCTCGTGGGGCTGGAGATTCAGCCGCGGAGGTCCATGGACAAAGCCTGCCTTCCTGAGGCCTCTCCTCCTTCCGGGACCTCCCTCCCTCCTGTCTCTGCGTGTGGAGTCCTGCAGGCAGCTTCTGGTGGCCTCCCTGCCAGCGACTCTTGTTGGGAAGCTCAGAGCCACGACGGGCAGGCTAAGTGGGCAGTGCGGCTATGTCAGCCCGATGTCTCGCTGCCAAACTAGAACCCACCGGACCCAGCTATTCGGGCTGAATTCTCTCACATGGCCCCAACATGGTAGAACACCCCTCACGTCGACTGCCGACAACCCCTCGGAAGTGACACTATTTTTCTTGGGACGTCATAAATCGGTGGACAGAGTTCCCTCCAGCTGCCACTGCAAATCTCTCTCTAAACCCCTTACGTGCGGATTTTATAGCTTCCGTTGAGAGGCCAATCTCACCGATGAATTTCTAAGTTAGCAACTGTCACGATCATGATGTTCTCGGAGGCGACCCCGTTCTTGCCCCTCGTGCCACATTCCTATCCCCCTACGTGTGCCTGAGGTAAAGTGCCGAAGCCAGTTTCCACACTGGAACTTCCTGGCGGAACCGCTCTCAGGTTTGTGCTTTGCTTGCTTTAATTTAGGAGCGGACAAAAGCTGGTCTTATGTGGTTAAAGGAACATGGCCATTCTTCGCCACCGACGGACAAAGAGCGTCAGTGGTCCTGAGTCAAAGGCAATAATAATGAGAAGAGCCCACCAGGGCCCCATGATGATCCAACCACCACGCATCAGGTACTAAAAACACCTGAAGAAACAAACGCTCCAATGACTTAAACTGCCGGAAGCGGAACAGGAGGTTCAGAGGACGGAGCCACCTGGGGCCCACAAAGGCTCCGCTGCAGGGGCCCGCGCGTGCGCCCCTCCCGGAGGCCTGCGCGCGACTCACCTGTTTTCTCAGCTGAGACACGGGGTGGACGTGAGCACGGTAGTTTTCGGCGAGACCGACCAGTGACCTTATCGCCACCTTTTCCTGGTTCAGAGAAAACAGACCGCGGTTAGGATGACGTCTGGTCAGGCCTGTACTTTTCTTCTACCGAATGCTAATCACACGGGAGTCCCAATTTCCCATTACCTTCCTTCACAGAATCCCACTCAGCTGTAACAGAGCAAGGCTCTTCATTAAAACAGGTTCGAGGCAGCAGTCAAACCATAACCAACACGATTTTTTTAAATGAAGCCAATTAACAATGATAAATAACAAAGGCCATGTCTGCCCTTTGTTCACGATCAAGGACGCTAGAAATAAGTGAGAAAGAAGAAAACGATTCCAGACAAACAACTGGGAACGTAAGAACTTCTCGTAAGAAACCAGAATGAGAATCTAGACATTAAAAATCAGTACAACCAAAAGTTATATCACTATGAATACTTAATTACTAAACACATAAACATTGAAGAAAATAGTAAAATGACATTATTTACGGCTGACGTAACCATGTAACCTGAAACTCCAAGCTGGCTGGCTAAAAACCATCAGAAACAAGTCAGTGAATCGCCTGCTGACTAATTTAACACACCAATAATCAATGAACAGCTTCCCCGCACAGAAGCTCTAACTACCCAGAATTCTCAACGGCACAAAGCAAGTCGCCAAGTAGCCAGACGTAAGTTACGTGAAGAAATACACTGACCCTGTCATTCGCTCGAAGACCCAAGTCCTACACGCAGCTGATGGAGTTCTGGGCCACGTGCACAAGACCCACGGACAGCCACGATTCCCATGTGGAAAGATCAGTGATGAGCCACAGAGGCCCTGGGGCCCGGCAGTCGCCAGAGCACACGGCTTCTCCTCAGAGGGGACACGGCAGCGGGAGGGCGGTGGACGCGAGGAGGGGGCGTGTGGAGGATCGCTCTGGCAGCCGTGCAGACAAGAGAACAGAGGGGCCATCGCGGGGAGGGCAGGTGGAGGGTAGGCGGGGGGCGGGGGAGCAGCTCAGCCCAGCAGGTGCACACGGTGCAGGGAGAAACGCGTCGGGACATACACTAGGGTGGAGGACGGAACACGGCGTGCGGTCATGCAGAGAGAGGACTCTGGCCTTGGGATGGCACTGCCACTCGGGGGAGGCTCGGGGAGGGGAGGCTGAGGACGTGGAGACACCGCATTGGGGAATAACGTTCACTATTATAAAAAAACATCAAATATTCCTACGTTAACCCATCATCTCATTCCTGTTTGTTGCCTGGTTAGTCTTAGGCTTTGTGTTTATTGTGTAATTACACAAGTTTGGCTGCAATACTAAGTAGAGAGGAGGCAGGGAAACTCTACAAGGTAAGACAGATGGGACAGTAACCCTACAGATGCTCAGCTCCATCACGAAGGTCAGTACAGATACACCCCGAGCACCCAAGACCAAGGCCACTGCACACAGCACAGGGATGCCGTCTCCTAAATGCTGCTGGGCCACCTTGGAAGTGACTTGTCAAAGAAAAAGGGCCAAGAAAACAAAAAACAAAAACAAGTAATCTAGATTCTCTCACTCCCAGATGAAGTAAGTTCCAGCTGGATCAAAAGACCTACATGGGGGCGGGGGGGGCTGTAAAGTTACTAGGGAAATGCGTAAATATGTTTATAATTTTGGAAAGCAAAGGATTTTTTAAGAATAATTCCAAATGCATAAGCCAAAATGAAAAAAACCTCAAAACTGAAGTAGGCAGCAACAGGCACACTGGAGAAGGCGCACACGGCTAATAAACCAGTGGGGAGAAGCACAAAGTGGAAAAAAACATTAACAGTTCACAAAAGAACTACACACTTCCAACAGCCACAAGAAAAGATAGCCAAGTCACCCCCAAAATACAAGAAGATAAAAACAAAGTCTCGCCAGTACCTTCTGCTTCAGAACTTCACTTTCATAAAGTCACTTACACAAGTGTCCAAATGAACAGTCTCCTTCAGACATTATAATTAGGAGCGTTCCCCACGAGGGAAAATTAGAATTCAGCCGTCAGTGAAGGACGACTTACGTAAATAAGGGCATACTGATACAAATGGAATGTCAAGTCGCAGATAAAAATAAGGTAACACACTGTTCGTGAAAATGCTAGCTACGGAACAGAACGTGTCTGCACAACGAGCCACGCTGCTGTGCTCGTGGAAAGACACAGACAGCACGTGCTAACAGTGGTCCCCTCAGGAGAAGGCCTGCCTCAGTGCCTTCTCACGTCAGTCTTTCCATCTTGGTGGAACTTTTCAGACAATTTTTACAGTAACTGTTACATGTATGATTTGAAACAGGATTAAAATAAGAATAACCCAAATTGTTTTAAAATAAGAATTATAGTTTATTGATAGATGCAAATATTCTGCCCCATCGATTTGAGTCGTTTGTAAAATTTTCTGATTTAGCTAATCCCATTTACACTTGTCTGGTTTGTAGTATCTGTGAAGCATACATTTTTTTTTAACGTGCATCCAAGTTAGTTAGCATACAGTGCAATAATGATTTCGGGAGTAAATCCCAGTGATTCATCCCCTATGTGTAACACCCCGTGCTCATCCCAAGTGCCCTCCTTAATGCCCATCCCCCATCTAGCCCATCCCCCCCACCCACTCCCAGCAATCCTGTTTGTTCCCTATATTTAAGAGTCTCTTCTGTTTTGTCCCCCTTCCTGTTTTTATATTATTTTTGTTTCCCTTTCCTCGTGTTCGTCTGTTCTGTGTCTTAAAGCCCTCATGAGTGAAGTCGTATGATATTTGTCTTTCTCTGACTGATTTCGCTTAGCATAATACCCTCCGGTTCCATCCACGTAGTTGCAAATGGCTAGACTTCATTCTTTTTGGTGGCTGAGTAATTTTCCATTGTACATACACACTCCACATTTATCCGTTGAAAATACGTTTTTAAGAACTAGGTTAAATTACTTTAGATGACATGATGCTCACCTACTTGTTGCGGCAAACGCATGCGCAACTGTAATCAGGTCACAAGTGTCGGTTCTGCTGGAGGCATACTGTAACTCAGACGCGTTTCCACAAAAGATGATTAAGGCCGAATGACGTGTGAGAACAAAGTACTCTTTCACAGCCGAGTAACCGCGAATCTCCCGGTTTTCTCCCTGTACGTTACCTTAAGCACTGACAACAGGCCTTCGTCGACGAATCGGAGTAAAAGCACAGTGGAAAATGCAAGCAATTGGTTCGCCGCTTCTTTTGGAAATTCGGGGAAGTTGATCTCCCCGTGGCTCAGATGGTCTCTTACACGAGGACCCTCCTGATGGTTCAGGAAATCCCAAAGAAACTCCTTCGGGAAAATGAACAGAAGAGACTTTGTCGGCTTTCTCAACCAAGGGAAGGAAAGCGCCGAGGCCCTGGACGGACCATCCTGACGGTCACGGAGCAGCAGCGCTGGCTTGCAGAGACAAGAAAACCGAGCTTCCAGACCGGAGTCCTCGCTAGTGGTGCCCAGGTACGTGCGGGCCTCCGGCTGGGGGCCCCCAGGCCTCTAACTCTGCCCGCGGCCCGGCTGCCTGGCCATAGTGACAAGAGGCCAGCTCCAGCGCCGTAGGCCCTCCCCCCCACCCCGCGTCTCACTCCTGTCGGCCCTGAGCCAAGGGGCTGAGGCGTCCACACCTGGAAGCGAATTTGCCTTCCACAGAGCAAGCACCACTGTCCCCCCGTGAATACAGCCCCCACTGCCCCCCCGCCTGGGGCCGCTCCCTCCCAGCACCCTCTCTCCCATCATGGCCTCCTCCTCCATGAAGCCTGATTAAGACAGCAGCTTCTTTCTCAATAGCACCGGCGGGGGCGGGGACACAGAAAGACAAAAAACTGCCAGTGGACGGAAGAGTCACAAAGATTGAGGATGGAAACAAATGGCGGATAAACTAGCTCAATCATCCTAATGTCCTGACGGCAGAAATGACGCCCCGAGAGCACACAGAGTCTCACTAATGTCCCACAGGGACTAGAATCCAGGCTGCAAAACTCTCAGTTAAAGGAACAAATACAGGGGCGCCCAGTGGCTCAGTCGGTTAAGCGTCCGACTTCAGCTCAGATCAGGATCTCACAGTTCGTGGGTTCGAGCCCCACGCTGGGCTCTGCGCTGGCAGCAGAGTGGGTCCTCTGTCTCCCACTCTCTCTGCCTCTCCCTTGCTTGCACTCTCTCTTTCTCAAACATAAACAAACATTTTTTAAGTTAAAAAAAGGAATAAAAAATTCTACTTACAGTCCAAAGTAGCTACTATAGTATCTTCATAAAGAAAAAAAAAAAAAAAGAAATTGGTAACAGGAAATGGCTCTACATAATTCTCTGTCCTCTTCCAACATGCACACTCGCACACTCACTAGTCACACCTGACTTCTGCCGCTGTTCACAAGGCAAACCTGGCTCCCCCAGCAGCCCACACCACACAACAGACCCAAATATACTTTGGAAAGCGGGTCTTAGATAACCAGCCAGAAGCCAGGCCCCGGAGCTGCAGTCACAGCCTAGCAAGTGTCTGTGACACGTGTCAAGTTGACACAGCGCGGGAGTGGCTCAGAAGCACTTTGGGGAGCACGTCACAGGTCAAAATTAACTTCACTTTGGAGAAGTGCTAATCACACCCATAAATATAAGAATATTGGATCAGAAAAGGCCTAGAATTTTACCATTGCAGGCTCTCCAAGGAAAAGAGGAAGTTGATTGAGTTTACCATCATTCAAGTGCTTTGCCAATATCTAAAAGACCAAAAATAAATATATGGATTAATTAGTACACACACACACACACAGTACCTTCAGCATCCAAGGAGATGTATCGTTGGTACGACATGCTACGTAAGCACAAAGCAAGTTAAATGTAACAAGGACAGTCTTAAAAACATGGCAGCCACCCGTTAAAGAAAGCTTTTCTTAACCAGTATAATGACTTTAGGAATAGATATGAATGTATATATATCTTAACTGTGTGAGTACATGCGTGTTTACGTGTATTTATATGCATATGTGTGATAACATATATATGTGATGCATGTATTTATACATGTGTGTACATCTATGTGTATTTGTATGTATGGGTACATGTGTATGTGTTTTGTACGTACATGTGTTGATATGTATTTACATGTACATGCGTATGTCTACATGTGTGTTTATGTATTTGTGTATATATGAGCACATGTGTTTGCATTTATCTGTATATGTTCATACAGATCTATGTACATACGTATATGCACGTGTGTACCTGTGTTTATAAATGTGTCTGTGTGTATGTGTATACTTCTATGTGTGTGTGTGTTTATGTATATTTATGTGTGTTCACGTTGCATTCATATGCATAAGTGTGCGTACATGTGGATGTGTACAGAAGCATCCATCAGAATTACTTCAAAGGCCACTTCTTAATTCACCAGACTTTGGAACCCAGCCACCCAATCCGCTCCTATATAGGACCTAATCCTATACAGATAGGACTACACTATCTATTTCAATCTTCACAGTATCAAATGCATCATATATTTAAACCACAGCAAATTATTTACCTAATGGAATAAAGTTTGCAGGTAAACTGGCACACAGTTTAATCCCACCCACCCATTCACTTAAGGAATCTAAGAGTTCTCTTAAAGGCGAAGTAATCTGAACACTCAAATCTCTCCACACTCTCCCTTTGTTTCCTCCTGTAGGCTAACTCTGAATCATACTTCTAGCTAGATAACAATCATTTGCTACCCACACAAAACCCTCTATACTATAAAGTGATAAAAGGTATTTTCAATGGTAATTTTTACTATTCCAGATTTTCACATTCAGAATCACACATCCAAGTCACAGAATAAATGCCTAAGTGTATATTGTACACACACAGAGGTAGTTCACTTATATTTCATTTGCAAAATAAGCAAGTGTCAATCTTAAATCTAAAGTGTAACCTCCAGGGGCACCTGGGTGACTCAGTCGGTTGAGCGACTGACTTGGCTCAGGTCATGATCTCGTGGTTTGTGCATTCAAGCCCCGCGTCGGGCTCTGTGCTTACAACAGCTCAGAGTCTGAAGCCTGCTTTGCATTCTGGGTCTCCCTCTCTATCTCTCTCTCTGCCCCTCCCCTGCTCACGTTCTCTCTTTCAAAAATAAACATAATAAATAAACAAGTAAATCAATAAATGAATAAATAAGTAAATAAATAAAACCTCCAAATAATTACAGAATATAATATTAATATCTCTTGACATTTTCCAATATGTGTCCTTCTATAACTCGAGAAACAAGGTTAATGATACTGGATCTCAAAATCAGTCTGGAAGACTATACTTAACTCTATAATAAGGGTGATGTGGCTTTTTTTTTTGGCATATATGACTACCAACATTTTCCTGTGTAACAGACAATAATGTTTTATTTGTTTCAAGATATCCTGTAAGTTTACTTACTTCATCGAAGGTGGTATAAAGAGCTGTTGACTTGAGAAAAGGAAAGAAAAGAAATAATTAAAGCAAAATGTGAGTACAGTAACGTTATTCAAAGCAGGAAAAAAATTCCAGTACATGGCCACAAACACGAAAACTTCTTCCAAAAATTATCTGGCAACGCTCTGGGTAGAATGTCCTATGCAACGTAACAGCACGAAAGGCTGTCCTGTATGACGTAACAGCTTGAGAGGCACGACGTAACAGCTTGAGAGGCACGGGGCCACGTGAAGACACCACTCCCACAGCACTCTGGGTCAGAAACCTCCCGTCGCCTCACAAAGCACGACTCACACACACGATCTCGGCCGGTGGCTCGTCTTCGCGGGCAGGAGAGCACAACTCAACGTGCCCTCCAACGAGCAGCCGTGTTTTGCGTGCTTCCTGGTGTAACCACTACTGTTTACACGCACAGGCTCCGGAGCCGCTGCCCCAACACATAAGCCCAGCTTCCACCCTCCCCGGAAGGGAAGCCCAGGGCACCTCCACACGTGGGCTTCTCTGCAAATCGGGACATGAGCAACTCCTGTCTCAAAAGGCTGCTGGGGAATTCGGGAAGATTTTACACACGCTGTGATGCAATCGGTATCTTGTGGGAACCAGCTCTCAAGAAAAGTGTCTCATCTCTTAACGCTTATTAATGTATTTCCAATCTAACATTATGAAATTACCTCCGACGTTTATGATATAGAGGATTACGAAGTCTGTATCCTTCACTCCCAAACCTATACCACTGACCCTAAAATTTCTCTAAGCGCTCTTCTAAACATCCGACTGCCTACTCAAGACCCCCCAACCACTTCCTCATAAAAGCTGAACTGCTCATTTATCCCCATAAACTGCACACATTAACTTCTACCTTGTTTTACAGAATTGGTACAAATGGCTTACCTGTCACCCCTAAACACGTAAGCTTCTTAGAAGACACAAAGTCTCACTCATTTTCTTCCTATCTGCCACCACTCTCAGAGACCTTATGCTATAAGTATTCAGTAAATAATAGCGTGTGCACAGCACTTTATGGCTTTATAGAGTCTTTTCACGTGTGCATTGCCTTATGAACAAACTGATGCTATGTTTATTCTGAACAAGAGCCTGGGCGACAATTTAAGATATTCTTTGATCAATTACTTCCTCCATGGAAACAGTCTTCTTTTTATTTGTGTGGTCAAATAACAATAGCCGGACGTGTTTAAACCGCATAGCGGTGAGCACACTGCCATGAAGAAAGCCCAGCGGTGCTCAAGTGAGAGCTCTGACAAACGGGGGTTCTAGCTCTTTCTTCCAGAAGGCAGATGCCCCACAACAGTGCCCGGCACTGCCCTGGGCAGAGCCAACGTGAAAGGCACCGGGCATGGGCACCAGGAGCACAAATGTGAACCTTCCGCTCCTGAGGAACCTGCACCAGAAACTGTACACAAATGCACAGAAGGCAAAGCAGAACAGCCTCGAGATAAAACAGAAACAGGACGCAGAGGAGCGAAGCTGGAGAGTCTGCGTGGATGAGGCTCTGGGGGTCACTGATGCGGCCTGAAGTGGTCAGGCAGGGGACAGTGGGCACAGCCCTAGGAGAGACACACATGTTCCGGAACCGGGGAGAGGCCTCGATTAAGCCGGAGGAACTGGGACAGGAGACAAGCCACGGGAACGCTGGGCCGCACGGAGGCCCCAGCACGCCACACAGGAGGACGACACTCGCTGCAGGCACCGGGGTGCCGCTAACAAGTTTTATGCAGATGAGACCATAAAAGACAGAAGAATATTCATCAGTGTGTAAAACAACTTGCGGTAGGGTGAGAGAAGGATCAGAGTCGTAAAGAGCACTGGGAGGGGAGCCAGACGAGGCCTCAGCACTGGAAAGGAGGGACCCAGGAGGAATCAGGGGCAGGACAGACGGGCAGGGCTGGGAACTGAGTGGCCGGGGTGGTGCGGAAGGCCACTGCGAAGTGACCAAGCGAAGGAGGACAACAGGGAATACCAGAGAACAAATCTGTGGGAGAGAAAACAAGCTTTTCAGAAGTATGGTAGTTTGAGACGCTGGGGAAAACCCCTACAAAAGCGTTTGGTGAACACGTGTACACCTGACCCGGGAAGTAGGGCAGAGCGCTTCCTTGGGGGGCACTGCGGCCCATGCTAGAAACTTCCGTCCTGGCACTGCTCTGGCTACATCCACAATGCTGTGTATGCTGGCTTTCATTTTCATTAGATCCAAAGTATTCTCTAATCGTTCTTCCCGCAGAGGTAAGGCAGCTGAAGACGTGGCAGTAAGATCTCCCAGGGGGCAAATGCGGGAGCACTACGCTGAGAACAGAATTTTGACAGATGTTTCTAGAAAGGGGCAAAATGGAGGAAGCTGAGCTGGTCAAAGAAAGAAGAGGCCAGGTCCAGCGGCCCCTGCCGCTGGCCCCCAATACAGACCCCTCCTTTCCTCTACCCTCCGCATCCTCTGACGGTCAACGGGGCATGTGGCCACCCAGAAACCTCTCCAAGCCACCGCCCAGAGGAAGCGGTGTCCTTGAACGGCCACGCTGTAGGCCACGGACCACCTCATGGGGTTACAATGGTACACCAATAATAACGGCTATGGGGACAAGGTAAGTGGTTTCTACTTCTCTGACACCGAGTTTAAAATACTTGGGAATACTACTATCAAAAACGATCACAGATAATCCTAAGTCCTCTAAAATCGTTATAACAGGAAGCCACAAAAAATGGCACTCAAGCCTTCCAAAGAGAATTCTTAGCTAAAAAATTCGTTTCATGGTGAACAAAAAGAAGAGATTCAAAACGTCAACAAGTCCAGAAAACGGGCAAAACAGCAGCAACCACCCCCATGGATCACCGAAGCACAGGTACCTCAGCCGTCAGAAGTCTCTGTGGACACTTGTTAACGACGGCAAACACTCTCCTGAGTCCCATCTCCAGCTGCGGCAGTAACAGCACGGCACAGTCAGCAAACCTGCAGACAGAAGTAACCAAGCAAATCCCGGAGCTTTAAAAGCAAACACGGGCGCCAACCCCAAGTGACGCCGCTTTATTCCAGAGGTCACCCTCGTGTGCTCAAAGCCTGGAGGGCAGAGGACACGCTAAAGCGAGCAATAAAACCGAAACGCAGTCTCATTTGCCTGGTGATTTTAAACTCATTTCCGCTGTTTTTGTGTATCAGAGGAAACACGTTTAGAAGCTTCAGGAGAATGACATGTCATCACGGGTCGGCCTGATTCTTCCCATCACTGGTAAGAAACACTCAAGTACCAGGATTTCAGGGGTTCTCGGGGTACAAGTACCAGGATTTTGGGGGGTTCTCGGGGTACATATGAACACACAATGACAGAACCGGAGGGAAGCAGAGGTCATGCCTCCGGAGCGCTTCTGCCCCGCCTTCAGGAAACAGCCTGGCTTCTCCCCTCCCTTGTCTCCAGCAGGGGACCCACAAGAGGCCCTCCCAGAGTGAGAACTCCGTCGACTCTGAACAAGAACTGTCTTTGTCGACTGTTCCAAAAGGACAACACGAGGCGTTTAACACCCAATCACAGCTACCTTTTCGCTCACTGTGAGAGGATATCTTGTGCTCGACCCTCCTGGAGGAAGCCCCACCTCTCTTCCATTCCAGCAGCAGAAAACATGGACAGTAAAGGGTTTTAAGAGGGACCAGCCTCCTGACTATCAAGAACCTCTGAGTCCGCACCCTCAGTTAGTTACCTGTGTTTCTCGAACCTGATTAACGCCTCTTCCCAGTACGGCAACATGATTTTTAATATAAAAGTGGATTTCTTCATCACTTCTTCTAACACTGGAAGTACCTCAGAAGTCATATCTGCAAAATAACAAACATGTATTTTTACATGTTTATTTAGAGAGACCTGGAAAGAGAACATGCACACAGGAGGGGCAGAAGGAGAGACGGAGGGAGAGAGGGAGAGGCGGAGAGGGGGAGTGGGGGAGTGGGGGAGAGGGGGAGAGGGGGAGAGGGAACCCCTAGCAGGCTCCACACTGTCAGCACAGAGCCCAACAGGAGGCCCGATCCCAAGACCGTGAGATCCCGACTTAAGCCAAGATAGAGCCAGTCGTTTGACCGACTGAGCCACCCAGGCCCTAAGAGAAAAGTATTTTTAAGTACTGTCACACTCATCAACTGAAGAGACACAGAACCAGACCGTGGAAGGATGCCCATGACCGACCTGTCCGGGCTGATAAAGCAGGCCTGGGGCAGCGGCACACGCCGTCCAAGAGTGAGACCGGCAGACTGGAGCCCGGCTGTGGGTGGCCGCGGACACCCTGGGGCAAGGGCACAGGGACAAGGGTCCCCTTGGCGTTTCAGGCTACGACGACTTTTGAGCAGAAGAGTTCAGGGCGGACCAGCTGACCACGCTTGACCGAGAAAAGTGAAATACATTTTCGGAAGACAGAAGAACAGGAGTGGACTATGCATGACGAGGACACGTAGGCTCGTCCTTGGGAACAAATGTGCCCTCTGGTGGGATGCTGATGGGGGGGAGGGGGTGTCTGCACCTCCCCATCTATTTTGTTCTAAACTCAAAACCGTTCCACAACTAAAGTCTCAAGAAGTACACGCGATCGGCAGTCAGCAGAGGACCCAGCAGTCCACGGCACCAAAGGCGCGGACCGGACCCCCGGACCCGGGACTGCAGAGATCGGGGCTGCGCCCCGTGACGCGCGTCAGAGACCCCGCTGCCACACCCCTACAGCCCCGGGGAGGGGGGAGGAACGGGCTTGGAGCAAACACATGTTTAACTGTGCTTTCCAGGTTTTGTGTCCCCTGCCCCCATTAATTTGGTAAACGGCTCTGCCACAGAAAAAAGAAGACGGAGGAGGCCATCTATGCTGTTGGCCTTTTTGGCATAATGAGCACGCGCACACAGGCACAAGAGCTAAAAGGAGAAGGGAATGCACGTTTCAAAACGGTCCTGAGCCACCTGTGCATCAACACGCCCGGAGGATAAACTCATAATTGACTCACGCAGCCACGACTCTCACAGCCTCCCCACCACAACCCATGGAAAGAGGGAAGGTTTCTTGTTTGTTTTTGAATTAGACATCCATTTCATGGTTCCATTGGCACATTTTTTTTTTTTTTAGTGTTTATTTATTCATTTACTTATTTTGAGAGAGACAGAGAACGAGCAGGGGAGGGGCAGAGAGAGAAGGGAGAGAATCCCAAGCAGGTTCCGCACTGTCAGCGCGGAGCTAATGCAGGGCTCCGTCGCTAACTGTGATTCATGACCTGAGCTGAAATCAAGAGTCGGATCCCGACTGAGTCCCCAGGTACCCAGGGAAGGTTTTACGTAGCAAATTTAAGAGGTTCTTCATGCAACTTTTGAAGGCATCTCGCCTCTGGAGCATAACAGTCCACCTACAGGGTTCAAGTCCCAGTGCTACTTAATGACCTTATACATATCTGTACGAAGAAGACACATCCAGGACAAATGGGGAGCGTAGTACTTGCCTGGGAAAACGGCCAAATCCTCAAGGTCTGGAAGAGCTCTGAAAGGTCGGTGCACCAATGCGAATTTAGTTTGTCGCAAGTAACTCTTTAGCAGCTGACCCAAGCCCGCTGTCAACAGCGTCATCATCGAACAGTATCTAATGTGCAACACCATAGCATGTTAGAAAATGAACCGCCATCCACATAAAGAGCTCTACTGTCAAAGAACAAGCTTAAAATTAAGAAAGCAAGCCATCATTAAATCGCAGGGAGGTCCCCCTCGCGGCAGGGATTAACCTAATGCAATGGCGGGAGGCGGGGTGGGGGGAGGAGCCAAAGCCTGGCAGACTCGGGAGCCACCCTCCAGGAGGCCAAGCACCCCACCGCTTCCGTCAGGCCCACCCTCAGAACTGCCCTTGGGGTGGATGGCAGCGGAGTCCCAACCCCGTCACCACCCCAGGTGTTCATCCGCCCCGTTTTATCTTCAAATTCCCGCTTCAAAACTCTCATCTTTTCCAAAATACACTCACGGGAAATTCAAGACAAACAAACTCTTAGTGCACTAAAGGAGCGAGAAAATGACTTCATCAGCAACGTACTTCGGAGGGACTTCGTGAGGGGACGCAAACCCATGCCACAGGATGTTACGCAGATTGAGCCCGCGTGGAGATCCAAGGAAGACTTTCAGTACGTCCATCTGACCAGGTTAGGAACAGCAGATTACTGAATGGTTGCATAACTACTGAACAAACCAATATAACATACAGTGGGAAGAGGTTTGCTTTCTTCTTGAGAACAGACCCAGGGCTTTGGCTAAACAGAAGTAGCAGTAACAGTAGTAACACGCAAACATTTACTGGGCGTGTAAGACATCAGACACATTTTGTGCGTATTTATTGCTCATTCACGCTCCCAACAACCTCTGGGAAGGCACGACTATTATTCCCACTCTGCAAATGAGAAGTACAGCATACAGAGGTGAAACCAAGGCCTCGGGGAACCCAGAACTATAAAGGGGGATGGGATCTGTCCCAGGCTCCGCAGCTTTCCTACTGGACCAAATAAAACCTCCTATCTAGACCAAATAAAACCACCCGGTGAACAGAAACCTCACAGAAAGTAGCGTGTGTTCGCGCGGTAAACTCCAGGAAGCAGACCCCGTGAGGGGGCCAGACGACTGAGGCTCCCATCCCAGGCCTCCCCGACCTCACTGTCTGACCTGAAGCCTCACCTGCCTCTGTCCCTCCGCGCATACGGTCAAGATGCCCCTGACGGGGTTCCTGCTCATCAGAATGCAAGAGCCACACACGTCTGTGGGCTGCCTCTGGGCTTGGAACGCCACGCTTGGGAACAGAGTCAGGAAAAAGGGAAGATATGCAGACACTCAACTCAAAAGCGGGCCACGCGAGAAAGAAGAGTGAGCATCCAGAAGACTCGGGAAAGGACTGAAAGCCTCCTGGCGGAGGAGGAAACAGACCCACCGTCACGTTCTCTCAAAGGCAGGGTGAGCCGGAGAGTTATAAAGAGGGGTTCGCCCGCAAACTGGCTCTTCCGTGCAACTCCAGACACCTCCTGCTCACATTGGTCCTTACTCCTTTAATATTCGTATCTAATATCGGTAATCACGATGATATGCATTTCACTACATTCGTTTTTAACTTAATACTGACTTTAGTGAATTGTTCACACCACCTGGGCCATCAGAAACACACAAGCCAGGGGCGCCTGGGTGGCGCAGTCGGTTAAGCGTCCGACTTCAGCCAGGTCACGATCTCGCGGTCCGTGAGTTCGAGCCCCGCGTCGGGCTCTGGGCTGGTGGCTCAGAGCCTGGAGCCTGTTTCCGATTCTGTGTCTCCCTCTCTCTCTGCCCCTCCCCCGTTCATGCTCTGTCTCTCTCTGTCCCAAAAATAAATAAAAACGTTGAAAAAAAAAAATTTAAA